CTCATTCTTGTTCTTTCTCTATTCATGGCTGCATTTTTTGGCTCTGTTTCCCGGTCATCGAATGTAGCTTCCGTACCAGTTGGGATTTCTGGTTTGTTATAGAAGATCCCCACGAAGGTGTGTGCGTCGGTGTTGCTTTGATATGTTTTATAACTATTTTCACTAACGGTTTCACTGATATTTAAGCTGCTGAGCACCTGCACATGAAAGCTTACAAAAGGAAAAAAGTTTAAAGAACTTGCCGATTAAAGTAACTAAGAAATTCCTCTCTATTCCACAAAGACAGGGAAGAAATCCAAAACTCTAAAATCATCACACAACATAATCTGGTTTTTAAAGGCAGGTAACGTGTGATAGATGGAGCAGTGGTTCTCAGATTTGAGTGTGCATCAGGATCCTGTGCAGTTTGTCAAACACACTGCCTGCACCCAAAGCCCCCAATCACACCACCACCACCAAGGTCTGGGACATGGCCTGAGAATTCGTATTTTTAGTAAGTTCCCAGGTGATGCTGATGCCGGCCTGGCTACCACACTTTAAGAACTCAAGGTGTAGAGCAGTGCTGTCAATGGAAATAGAATATGAGCCACATATAAAAGTTTATATTATCTAGTCTAATAGTCACTTTAAAAAAGCAAAACAAGACCATTAATTAATTTTAAGAACATATTTTCTTAACCTAGTACGTTTAAAATGTCATCATTTGATGTAAAATCTGTCAATGGGGTATTTTACATTTGCACTAACTCTTCAATCTTTGGTGTATATTTCACTCTCATAGCACATTTCAATTTTGACAAGTCTCTTTTCAAGGGCTCACTTGCCACACGTGGCTAGTGGCTGCTGTATTGGGGAACACAGGTTTAGAGCACTCCCTGAGAATCATTAAATAAGCAGACTGGGTCCCCAAGGTTCATAAAAAACTGACCTAAAATATAAGACTCTGCTGGGGGGCGGAGGAGGAGGGGAGAGAAGATATCTGACATCCCTGGTCACAGAAGACTGGGCCGGGTCTATGCATTACTCATGCCTAGCCAAGCAGAGAACTTTTACTTGTTTGTTTAAAAAAAAAAAAAAACCCACAAATCAGAAGTAAACAAAGCAGCAACCAAGCCATCCAAGGAGGCTTGGGCATACTGGAAGCCATGTTTCATATCACTACTTCAAGGTGACAGAGAAGCAGAAACAAGCAGCAAGATGAATGACAGAGTCCTGGGGTGTCAGTCCCTGGTCCCAGTCTCCCTGAGCTCAAGTCTGGCACCCTGGTCCTACCCAGAGACATGGGAGCCTTTGCATCTGTTCAATATTATTCTTGTCTGCAAAGCTAGCTCAAGTCAATGTTTTGTCATGTGCAACCAAGGGAATCCTGACTAATAGACTTGAGCCTGGCAAAGAGCTAGAATGAAGAGGTCTGTCTGTATCAGAGCACCCGCTGATTTCCTTTCCTGTCTGGACTGGAACAGCACAATGAAAATTCACAGTAAATTCCTGTCCCTGCATGTCCCTGTTCTTCCACCTGTTCTATCACAGTTCCTTCAGCTTATGCCGGTTGAAGTCAGTTATTTTTTTTACTTTGTTGATTTGTCTCTGTTTCTCTATTTTGGAATAGTTAAAATATATCTGTCTATCCCATATGTATCCATTTACTTACAAAGCAAATATAGTAATATGTTAACTGTAGAATCTAGGTGGTGGTATGTAGATATGCTCTGTATAATCCAGATTCCTCTGTACACTTACAATTTTCAAAGCAAAATGCTGAGAGGGTGGGGGAAATCTATCGACCTTTTGGTCCATCACTATTTCCTTTTCTTTTCTGGATTTTTAGTCATTTTTCTCTACCCACAACTGTAGGTAGGAAGGAAAGAATGATCAGAACAGGGGAACAAGACAAGAGCTAGAAAGGTGCAGGTATAAGCAGTGATGTCTTCTGTCATTTTCTTTTATAGAATTAGGCTTGAAGATCCCAAGAATCAGAAATAAGAGCAGAAAGTCCCCAACATGAGTATTTACTTTTTCCCTGGCATTTTCCCTCATGGAAAAAGTTTCCAAAATGCTTACCTGGAAGAAGTGGCCAACATTTTTAAACACTGTTCCCAAAATGTTTTTATTTTCCAAGAACACTAATGGTTTGCTTTTGGGGAAGTACATGTATTGATTTAAGATCTAAATTAAAAATGTCTCCCAAAAAGTGTTATAGGTCAAAGAAAATAAAAACAAAAATCATGAAGAGAATGATTGGCTCCAGAATAACAGAATAATGAACAAAATTTTATGTAGAGCTGTTTATTCACATTTATTCCTCATGGCAAATTACCTTCATCTTGGAGCTCAGGACAGCTCCATATTTAACCTGAGGTTTCTCACCTGGAAAGTTGACAGAGCCAGAACCCAGCTCAGCTTGGGTCTGAGCCACCAAGAACACCCCATCATCATACTGCCACTCCCAGAAAACCAGTGTACTTGGACATTCAAGTGCCCTGAGAGTGCCTGCTGGGAAGCTGGGAAGCAGGCACTTCTCTAAGCTGAGGGATGGACTGTGGAACAAACAAAAAAGCAGATATCCCCCTCTTAATGGGGGGTTACATTCTAGCCCCAAGCAGGGGTATGTGATGGAAGTAAGAGTCAGGAAGGAAAGTCAGGCAAGCAAGGAGACGCTTTACATAAAGTATCTGGGATGCTGTCTGAGAAGGTGGCATTTGAACACAGACTACAGAGGTGCAGGGAGGGAAGGGAAGGAGTGCCCCAGGCAGGGGGAGCTGTGAACCTGCTGCAGAAGCACACCTGGCTCGGGGAAGGACCACATCTGGGCACCAGCAGAACTTAGCCAGAGCTCAGGAAGCTAATGATGATGAAGTTTCTCAGCCGGAAAGTTGGCAGAGCCATGATAACAATGTCTGAGAAAGAATGGGTCCAGATCCTCAGACCATCACTGGCTGTTTCAAGGACTTTGCTTTTCACCCTGAGTGAATGAGGAGAGCCCCTAGAGGATCTTAAGCAGAGAAATAAGACAGGTGTTAGAGGACCACTTTGGCTTCTGTTGAGCACAGAACATACGTAGGATGCAAAGACCAAAGCAGGGCAATCATTTGGGAAGCCCAAGAAAGGAGAGTGGTGGCATGACCTGGGTAGCCTGGGAGGCAGTGGGAGTTGGAGATGACATCTATTTTTAAGGTAGAAGTGATGGCATTTTGTGGATGGACTGTGGAATTTGAGAAAGAGGGTTTAAGAATGATGCTGTGGGCTATAATCTGAGTCACCAAAAAAGAATAGAGTTAGTATTTACTCAATGGGAAAAGGGGAAGGAATCAAGGTTGTTTTCAAGGAACCTTTTAGACACCATGATATTGTGATTATAGGAAATATAATACCTGAATTACCAAATGTATATTTTTCACATATATTTGGTCTTCAGTCACAGTTCCTTTCTCATAGCTCCCCCCACGTCTCGGAATTTCCTAAGTGGTGAGAGCATTAAAGGCACCTCTTATTATAATAAGGTAACTGTTGGGAAACTCCTGAGGATGGGGACTGGTTGCCAGGGAAACCAACCACTGATTAGAGAGTTGGAATTTCCAGTTCCACCTCCTTCTCTCCATTGAGTTCAATCACCAATAGCTAATGAGTTAATCTATCATGCCTCTGTAATGAAACATCCATAAAAACCTGAAAGGGCTTTAGGGTTTTCCGATGGAGATTTGGAGAGAATCCAGGTGCCTAGAGAGGGCCTATAAGTTCCACACCTTTTCTCCAGACCTTGTCCTATGTTTCTCTTCTTCTAGCTGTTGATTCATATCCCTCGGTATCCTTTGTAACAAATCAGAGACCCAGTGAGTAAATGGGTTCCTTGAATTTTGTCTGCTGTCCTAACAAATGAACCCGAGGATGGAGTCACATGGGCCATAAGTACAGGTAGCAACCTGGGACTTGCTACCAGTGTCTGAAGTGGAGGAGGTTTTGGAAGGAAAAGTCCTCAACCTGTGCAATCTGACGCTGTTGCCAAGAAGACAGTGTCAGAATTGAACTAAACTGAGTTGAGGCTGGAGTATCACTTCATTGTATATATAAAAACAATGTGCTTTTACACTGTGCCTTCTAAGAATACCAAAGGAAGACTGCACTTTGCTTCAGAACTTTACCAAGAGTGTTCATCTTTTCAATATGATCATGTCATCCCCTTAACATCCTTCATTGTTTCTAAGTCATTGCCAAAACAACCCTGACTCAGTCTGCCTTATAGAGGCCACATCCACAGTGCTGTGAGGAACATCCAGGCCCTTAAGCACAGCAGTGCTCAGGCACATGCAGATGGCAAATATGGATTGTTTCATTATATTTTCCTTTTATAGTCAAGACATTATATTGATTTTTTTAAATGTATTGTGTAGGAAGGTCATACCATCTCTGAATTTCATCTCCAGATAGTAAAGGAGGTAGAGTATGATAGTAGCTAGAAAAGAAGATGAGGCCTGAATACTGTGCCTCAGGTGCACCTGACTTTGGAAACCAAGGGGAGGAGGAGGAGGCAGTGGCAGTGAAGACTGGGGAAGAGGACAGCGACTGGGGAGAGAGAAGACCCAGGGAAAAAGGTATTCCCATACAGAGGGCATAATCATCAGGGTTAACAATCCTAGACATCAAGCAAGACAAAGAGAATTGACAAATGGATTATCACAGCTGTGAGATACTAGTGATGGGACCCCCATCTTGAAGGGTGCTGGGGGCAAAACCCTGGCTGGAAAGTCAATGCAGTTCAGGGCAAGGGATCTTAATTACTCTGTTTAGAGTTTGTAAATTTCCTTTCTCTATCTCAGGCACTCCTCCTCACCCCCTTTGCTCTGTTCCTTTAGGTCAAAATATGCTGGCCCTTTTCGAACCCTCCTCAGAACCTTCTTCCCTTCCTTGTGGGGTCATGGCTTTGCTTACAGAACTCCTCAAGCCTCCCCAACAGAGCCACCAGGGGTGCCCAGCATCCCCACCCTGTGTGGTTTATTCTATACCTTGCTGAGTCGGGACTCAAATGCCAAGGAGGTTGAAGATTTAGAGCTCTTCATGCCAGAAGAGGCTGTGGGGAGGGGTCGTGCTCGGTCTGCCCCATGGCTCCCGGCTTTGACAGCTGGACTCCAGGGCTTGGCTGCACTCCTCATGTTGCCCTGGTAAGTCTGGCTTACTGTAGAAGAGCAGAAAAGAGAAACATTTGTGTCCACCAGTTGAACTTGCTGAGTGACATCATAAAGTTTTACTGCCATAAACCATATCCACATTGTTATCACAGAACAAGTCCTTATGATTAGATGATGCCTTTGCACTAAGTTTTACAGTTCTACAACAGCTTTTACCAAACTATTAAAACATGTGCAATGGGATTGATGTTCTGACATACCTGTTCAGCTCCATCTTGGTCAGGGACACCTAACACAATGTTACTATATATTTTATATTAATATATGTGTGTGTATAGTATACATGACTCATATAAAACAGGTCAGCTTGAATTAAGACATACTATGTCCATAAGCCTTGCAACTTTAGGTTTGCATTGGAGCAACTTACCCAATTTTTATATAGACATAAATGAATTACTTGAAAATTACACTTCACAGAAGCACAACTTTTTTCTTCTTTTGGATAAAAATGGATATCATTTAAAAATTAATAGAGCACACTTTAATTGATTAGACCAGACATTGTCAGACAGAGTTACCATCCTAACTAAAATAGTTTTGGGGAAAAAAATGGTACAAAGTAGCAGGGTGCAGTCAAAGACCGTGGAGGCAAATCCATACCCAAAGACACGGAAGGCCGCCTGAGCCTGGCATCACCCACTGTCCTTCCATTACCAACAGTGGCACTACATTCAATGCCCTTGAGGTCTCACACAGTTCCAACCCTTACTGCTGTGGGCACCATGGCTTCTAGTGACTGAGTACATGAGACAAAATTCCAAAACCATAGACAATGTTCTATCCTCTTAAAGAAACAATCCAAACAACAAACTTTTAAAAAACACTGGCTAACTCCACTCGCCACACTCACAGGACATAGGGGTCTAATTAACTGCCTCTGAGGGATCATGGCTGGGCCTAATCTCCCCTTCCTACCTCCCAGTATACCCCATTAGCCACTGAAGGAAAAAACAACAGACATCCTCCCCAGCCTAGCTAAGGCTATGACTGTCCTCCATTCTTTCTCATCCTGGATGGAGGAAACATGTCAATGTCTTTCAGCAAGGGCTCCCCAGTCCCTGCTCCTACTTGAGGGGATTGGCTGATGGGATGTGTCTGAGTTCACCTGGAACTCCTTCAGCAGCACTGCTATCCTAACAGCTCTGTGAATGTGGCTGCAGGTAAAAATATATCTTTAAAAATTCTGTAATTTTTTGATAGTGTTCCACAGAAAAAATTATTCATAATTTCAACTTTATGATTAGTTCAGAGCCTTATTAGTCTAAACTTAGTTCCAGGTATCATGAATATTTGTTCAGTTTTACAGGACAAAAAACCACCTTATTTGTCATGTATTTTACTGTTGTTTAGCACCACCTATTTATCTTTTTCAACCCACAATTTCTAATGCTGGTTTCCATAGCAACAATGAAAGAATTCCTAGGTTAAGACCTATACAGTAACTCATTTTATTAGTATTTCCAATTAAAGTAAACTAAGTAGGCTGAGTTGTTCTTGGAGAGAATTACTGATGAATTTTACCAATTCTACGGAACCAGCCAGTACATGTCAGCCAGTCCCATGGAGATGACAAATAAAATATCTGCTTCATCAAGGCACCTTTTTATGTTATGATACACTACTTAGAAATTACTCTTATTGGGCTTACTTTATGGAAACATAAAGTGATCCCATAATGCAGCTACATGTCCTTAATCTGCCCAGGTTATCCCTGAAATGAATTGCCTCTTATTTCTTCCCCAAAAGAAAGATAAGAATGAGAAGATGAAAAGCAGCAGGAAGAGAATGGAATTTTTTCTCACAATTGTTTTCCCAATGTTTCAGGAGTTTAAGTCCTCGGTTTCAAAAAGTCAATTCTGTCAAAACACAAGATCTAAATTCCTCTCTTAATCTCTGGCAACAAATTCTGGACAGTGTGTTCAAAAACATTCAACCATTTTTCAAAGATGAATGAGTTACTTGCTCAGAGGCAAAGTACTCAGGGTCACTTTGTATCATCACACCTTTCTTTACTTCCTAGAACCTTCTGAACCCAACCAAAGTATTCCCAAATGAATATATCCAGGAAAATTCTCATTTCTTTATCATGCTCTTTTTTCTTAGTTCACTTCATTCTCCTTTCCCATTATTTTTCCCAGTCTGAGCCTTGTGTTATGTACCCACCCACCAGTCAGATTCTTTCCTTCAAATTCTACCATTTTTCAGAATTCAAAATATACAGAAATGAAACCATGAATGTCCTACTCACTTGAACCAGGAAGAGTCCTATGGGCAGGTGTGAAGGGCTGTCTGGAGCAGTAGTGGGCAGCTTTCCAGCAATAGGACGATGGCGGCTGGCAGGTGAGTAAAGCAGGGCTTGCCCTACTCTCCAGCCACACTGCCCAGCAGCTTTGCTCCCTGTTCCCCACTATCATGTCGTAAAAGGTTGTTCAGCACTGCCTGGCCTCTATCCCCAGCCTACACCGGAGTCTTCCTAGTGTTCTTGACATCTCCTGGAGGCTACTATTTCCCCTGGTTTTCCCATCCCCAGTCCTGGGCTCTTCTGAAATAGACTGGAAAAGTTCACCCACACAGGTGTCCACCTACAGCTCTGACCTTCTCTCTTCACTTCCAGGAAGGCCTCCTGCCAGAATGGGAGCAGGTTACCCCAGGTCCACTCCTAGCTTCCCACAGGTTCTCACTCAGTCTGCTTCCTACCACTTCTGTAACCCTCCCTCAGCCCTCATCCCAGCCTGACTGGCTGACAAAGAGAACCAGTTAATTAAATAAGCACTGTAGTGACGTGAGAGCAGCTACCCACTCCACGCTGAGCCTAGCCAGGCACTGCTCCGTGCTCTTCATGCCTATCTCATTAGGCCCTCACCATAGCCCTATAAAAGCATCACCCCCGATGTATACATAGGGAAACTGTTTGGCTTAGGGAGGTTAAGTGACTTGCCCAAATCACAGAGTTCATGATGGAGCCAGGATTCAAATGCAGTTTTAATTGGCTCCTAAACACCAGGGATGGACACAGCCTCTCTGAGTAATCTTTGCTCCCATGAGAAAACATAAGGGCCTTTGGCTCCGTGCTTCCGGTCTATATCCAGCTGCACTGTTTATGCTGTGAACTCGAGCATGCCCTTCAACACTATGATTCTCAGCAGCTTCGCCCCCCAAAATTGAATTAATAATGCCTACTTCATGAAGCTGTGAAGATTGAAGGAGAACACGGATATTGAGAGCTCAACAAATATTAGCTGCCGTCCTGGCAAACAGTTCATTGTGTTTCCGGAGGGCTGTTCTGCTTTATTAATGCAACAATACATAGTGAAGAATCAATCAAATCAGTGTTCAGGGCAGGAGCCACCAGACGTAGCGGACTTAAGGAAAGCATTCTTCTTATACATAGAGCAGCCTGTTTTCATGTGGAAATGTGGAAGAGGGAAAGGAGTGAGGGGGAAAAAAAACACCGACTGCAGACACCTTACAGTCATTAGAACTGGCCTCAGCCCTAATACACCCTAGCTGCTGAAAGATAAACACAGGTGAGAAGGCAGGGTGAATAATACTTTTCTTGTGGATGTGAATTAGGAACAGAAAATAAATAGAAGGGCTCTGGCCAACTGTAAGAAAATGGAAAAAAGAAGAAGCTTCAATTATTAATATTCCAACTTCTGAAAAGCCTCCCTAAATATCTCAAAGGATCAAAATGACCAAGGCATTACAATTAAATCTAGGAACCCACTCACAAGGGTGGGGAGATCTTTTCAGGAGTGTTAGCTTTAGATTTTCCAAACATTTTATTTTCTTACCAAGCTTTAGGACTACAATTAGGTGTCTGGGCACTAGGAAATAACATCAGAGCCCATGTGCATGGCTCCAAACAAGCCACTCTGCTACTTAATCACCACCTTCAGGAGGACTCAGTCTCTGGGTCTTGGATTTACTACCCTTTTAAGGCAAGAAAACTGAGAGGCGACTGGGAAACCATTCTGGACTATCACAAAATAATAAGAGTCTCTGGGAGTGGGAGAGGGCACCAAGGTCTCGACAACAAGTACAATAAGCACCAGGAAGCGGAAAGCTGAAGCATTCAAGTCTGAGAACTAACAAAATAAGAATGTTCACATAGCTCAATTACCAGGGGACTCTGCAGGAAACAGAATGTAAGTGAACAGCATTTTGAAAATATCTAGCTGAGCTTGCTCCCGACCTCTTCAACAGCAGTGGTAGTTAAGTTAGGGCACGTGGGTGAGCAAATGATTCTCCCCCAGGGACATTGGCAACGTGGGGTGATGGTTTTGGTTGTCACACTTGGGGGTGCTACTGGGTATCCTTTAACCAAAAGGGCAGCCCCCAATACAAATAAGTATGTTGACCTAAAATGTCAGTGGCTGGAGTTGAGAAAACTCACTTCTAGAGGAAAAAGAATACACAGATGCTGGGTCTTAGCCACCTGATTCATTTCCCATTTAACAAGGAAATGTTAACACTGAAATCTGGTTTGGGAGCAACTCAGGGAATCCCAGACTTCAGCTGAAGGTCTGAGGAAACTCTTTAGAGCTTATTATTTCCTGTGGCCTCAAGAGGAAAAATCATTGCATTAGCCTTAGATTCCTCCTGGTAAGTAAGGCAAAGAACAGATTTTCACACAGAACCAGAAGAAACAAACAAACAAACAAACTAAAACTCATTTATCCCACCAGCTGAAATCAAATAATACAAGAACCAAGAAGTGGTAAAAGAGAAACCAAACATAAAGGAATATTTGCATTACACTTACTACAACATCTCACATCTCAACCCTGAAAACAAGCTTACTTTTTTAAAATTTATTTTTATTTATTTATGCATACAAGAACTGGGGTGTAGGCCAGAGGTGGGGGTGCGGGGGACTGTGAGAGGATTCACCAGAGACAGAGTAGGGGACAGAACTGGCAGACTGTCTGAAATACACTGCTGAGGGGAACAGCGGGCAAGACAGGAGAGGTCTGCTGCGCCT